TAAAAAAATAAATTTTGCCCAAAGTATTTGGGCAATTTCAGCTACTAATAGAAGCAGTTTCGACCAGAAACCTTAGTCATTACTCCTGATAATCTCCAGCCCACATTTTTTTCTTTTGTGTATATATTGATAAATAAAATTTATTAAAATTTCACTAAATTTTAATAAACAACAATCCACATAAAGCTATACCCATATGAAAGTTATGATATTCTTCATTTTTTTAAACACTCATTGAGTTTATAAAGGTAATATTGGTAAAAAATCTTAGTTTTGAAGTAAAAAGTAATGCTGTTTTCAAATAAATATAGCTTGACATGGAGAGCCTCTATCAATATAAGAGAGGATTTGTTAGAAAGCTATAATGAAATAGATCTATTTTTATTATTAATAATGCTTGAATTTGTTTATAAAAATAGAGATATTTAAAAAACTGATTGGTTACATGAGTCAGATTTTCTATTTTATATATGTAATTACACTTCCTGTGACATATTGCTCAGCTAATAAAATAAACCAATTATTTTGCAGGTTATAAATTTTTTTGCATTTTTGGTTTGAGGAGTAAATTTTAAAAATAAAACTTGCTAGTTACTTGCATATTGATGAGCAACTGGAGATATTCTTCACAGTAGTGTCAACATGGCAGATGGTATATAGCATCCTTAATAATTTGTTTTCTATGAGCTAACTTGGGGTTACATTTATTGGATGTTGATCTTGAACAAATGACCTTCATTATGTTTGTAATTTTCTGTTAAATGGCTAATTGGCTATTGATGGCTGATAAAACTTTTCTGATATGGTTGGCTCGATCTAAAGACCTCATGATGCTGCACCATGTGCTCAAATTTCAAAAAATTGTGATTTCGTGATTTGTCCAAAAATGCAATTAATTTTAAAAAAAGGGTTTCACGTGATTTGATTAAAAAATTATTTTCCTTACTGCTAAATTTAGATATGATGTTGATAAGGACCCCGGAAACTTATATTAGATGTTCCCATCATGTAGACTGGGTAAAGTTTATATAAAAAATTTCCAAAAGTTGCCGGCTAAGCTATAGGTAAAATTAATAGTACCTTAAAAAATGTTCAAGTTTTTACAGGGTAAAGTTTTTTTTGCCTCCCAGCTAGTATAAGGGTAAATTTATTAATAATTTATAAAATGTTCCTGTTAGTAACAGGATAAAGTCATATATATAAAATACAGTTGGTGTTACTGCACCATATGATCAATTTGAAAAAATTTATTTTATTTTTTTTTCATGAAATTTCTCATGAAAATAATGGAGAATACTCACAACAAAAATGTATACAAATGACCCTTGATTTCCCTATAATATCTATTACGTGTTTTGATTCAAGCCACTAAAAGGGTAAAAATAAATCTATAGACCATAATAAAGAAACTATACCTTCTAATACAATAAATCAACCGCAACAGACAACCCTTAATTTCCCTTTAATTGCTGACAATACTCATAAAAAACATTCCTTTGATGAAATTGATGCAAATAATGATACAGATGGTGATGAATCCAATGAACATAATGATAACTTAGATGAATGTGGTAATGATGAATACAACAAACTTTAGCTAATCATTTGATAAATCAGTTAAGTAACAATCCAAGTGATCAAATTATTAGAAGGAGAACACAATGTTGGAAAGGATGTAAACAGATACAATCATTAGTTAACTCTGGCCAAACAATAGGTAAATATAATTTAATCTAATTTTTACTTTGAAATTTATTTACTTATAAATATTGTGAGATAGTAAATCTTGGACCTATCAATTACCCGGCTAATATTGACCAATTAGAACGAACTCACTACGGAAGTCATGTGATGCGCTAAATATATTATTGTAACGGCTATGCCGCACATTGCGCAGTGTCATATTCCTATTCATATTTCTATATTTATATTTATTAACCTTCTCATCTGATGTAAATATTTATTTAGAATTAGTAATT